AGGGTTGTTGTTGTGGGGAAAATAAGAGGAGGAAGTTGTATTAGGTATGTTTGCTGTCTTGAGTTATTTATAAAATAATAATAAAGGCAGGATAAAAAAAAACTTTAAAAAAAGGCTCTAAACAAGAGTTCCTACCTTGCATGTATGCCTGGGGCAAAAATGGGCTTTGGTTGCACTTGTGACATCTTGGCCAAAGTGTGCTCAAGGAATTTTTCCAGGGAATGCTGTGTCTGGCAACCAAGGCTGGTAACCATCTGCGCTTTGTCTCTTACTAAAAATATTAAGTGAAAGCCTTGACTGATTCAAGCTATCATGAGCAAAGGAAGTCAATATCTATGGATCCATCTAGTGATACTTCCTTCTCTTCTTTTTGTCACATTCCTTTGTCTGACTTACTCCTTTTGGAGGGCTTTGCATAACATTGCTTACCCCTAGAAGGAAATAGCCTGAAGGGTATGTATGGGCTTGTATGGAATATGATCCTTGGGCTGAAAAAATCTTTTTTATTTATATATGAATTAGCTTTCCTTTCCCTGCATGATATTCCAGAGTTCCCATGCTCCAATGATACTCTGCCTTCTTTCTTTAAATAGCATTTTCCAGCTCTCAGGAGAGCTGTGAAAATAGACTTAAATTATCTGGAGTTTGATGAATATTAGAAGTTTATTCAGGACTTGGGAGGAACTTTAGTAACTGCTAGATAAGATTGTGTGTGTGTGTGTAAGCACTCTCAACTAAACAGGGAATTGGACAAAATTAGTTCTAAAGTCCATTTCAATGCTGCAATTCCATAATTGTGGAATGCCACAGTTGGAAATAGCGAGGAGAAAAATGTACAGTAGCAAATGAAGCAGGAGAACGACTTACCACTTTCTGCTAATCCAAAGATTTCTTTATCGCTAAATGTTCTTTCAAAAAAAAAATGTCTATATAAATGGACATCACTAGATAGACCACATAGAAATAAAATTCACTATATTATTGGTACAGGGAGATGGAAGAGCTCAGTTATAACAGCAAAGACATAGCAGGGGGCTCACTGTGGTGCAGTTCATGAACTGCTCGTGTGTAAGTTCCAAAAAGAATAAAGCTAACCGGTTTCCATGTTATGATCTTGAGCATCTACCCATCACTTTCAGGAAGAACATCAGGAATTGCTTTGAAGACCTGAGCCTCTTTGATCAGAAATGAATGATGTGGAATGAAATCTAAGAAGCTATTAAGGATGAATATGAAAAGAGACTGCCAAAGACCAAGAAACAGAACAGAACTAACTGGATGTCAAAACAGATGGTGGAAATGGCCAAGCACAGATGAGAAGCCAAAGCCAAGAATGACAAAGATCTCAGAAACTTAATAAGGAATTTCAGAGAGCTATTAAACAAGGCAAAAAACAGTATTACAACATCTGTAAAGACATCAAAGATGGAAAAACAAGGACAATCTTCCAAAAGATCTCCAAACTCAGAAGGAGGTTCAAACCTTGAATTGGTATGGTAAAGGACACCAATGGGCAGATAGATTTCAGACAGATTTCAAGAATATCAAACCAAGATGGAAGGAGTATATTGAAATTCTGTACAGTAGAGATATACTTTGGATATTTCCTGTTTATAAGAACTTCTAGGAAAAGTAGTTCAGCATTCTGGCAATTATCAAGTTGGAAGACTACAGGTATAGATAGAATAGCTGTAGAAATATAGCAAACAACAGAAAAAGAATCAGTTATGGTTCTAATCAAATTAGTCCAGCAAGCTTGGAGAATGACATAGTTGCCAACAACTAGGAAGAGGTCAAGTCTACATACCAATATTTAAGAAAGGAGACTTAACAAAGTGTGCAGACTATTGCACAATATCCTTAATTTCATATTCTAGTAAAATAATCTCAAGTAGATACCTCCCTAATTTACATGGTTGTAAAAGAGAGAGGAGGAGGAGTATAACCAGACTGCAAGATTATGTTACTATAGCCAATCTATGTAAAAGTATTCTTCCATGGAGTTTATTTCTTGGTCTGCTGTACAGGGCTAACAGCTGCAGACTAGCACTTGTAATACAGTAATGAAGGAAAAGATATTCAAATGTTGTGTCATGTCTGTATCTACAAAGATCAGAATCACACAGGCAATGATTTTCTCTGTGACACTTCATAGACATAAAAGTTGGACTTTGAAGAAACAGGATAGAAAGAGCATTGAAGCTTTTGAACTTTGGTGTTCAAAAAGAAGACTCTTCAGAATGCCATGAATAGTCAAACAAACAAACAAACGGATCATATAGCAAATCAATCCAGGGTTCCCACTCAAGGCACAAATGGCCAGTCTCAAATTACCATATTCTGGACATATTATGTTAAAACCCATTTCCTCTGAGAAGTCCATAATGGTGGAAAAAGAAGAGGACAACCAGCAGCAAGAGGGCAACCAGCAGACATTTTTTACCTCTGTCCCCACAGATGCCCCGGGAGAGGAGACCATGAGCTATGTCTTAACCACAAATTGGATAAGGTGGATGGACTTGATTACAGTGCTGATGGATATACTATTGGTAGATTTGTAGAGAGTAAGGAAGATGACCTTGGCAGAGATATGCAAGTTGGGTTGCCAGGGTGACAGGGGATGAAAGATATTTTAGTCCACCACAGATACCTCCCTAATCCACTGAACTAAAAGGAGGAGTTGCAGCACAATCAGACATGCAAGATTCTGTTACGATAGCCAATTTCAGTAACAGTAGTTTTAGCCTTCCTGTGGAGTTGATTTCTTAGTCTGGTCTACCTAGTGGGGCTGAGAGATCTGAAGGGATGGATTGGGAACAGATTATCCTGGAGAAGGTCTTTCTACATAATTGCTAAGAGTTGAGACTGACTTGATGACACATAATCACTCAATCAATATACCTGAAGAAAAGGTGGAAACATTTTTCAGCTCAAAATAAGCTTATATCAAGAACAGTCTTCCAAGAGTTGCTTGCAATACTGGACAAGGCAAGTGCACGAAAGAATAGGACCATAACTATATTCCAGTTTATTGACATTTCCACACTGGACAAAGCTAGAAAAGTCTTTTTAAAACAAATGGCACCTTTAAAAAACAAAGCAAAATAAAACACAACAATCTCATTGTTATAATGGACTCAAAATTTTCAGTGTCTGGCAGCTTAAAGGAAGGGTATTATTAATCCTTTTCTTTCCAGCTGCTATCCTTTGGGAATTGTGTGATTGCTCACATCTTGGTGGTAGAAGTAGGCTTTGAAGCAAAACTCCTTCATGCGATTAAAACAGTTTCTATACTAAATTCAGGGTGGGGTGAAGAATGAGAAGGGGGATGAGGTTAAAAAAGTCAAGATGGCAGCCACATTCATTTGATTGATCCCCATCTTCTTTTTAATATGCAGGGCTTTGATCATGCAGTCACAGCCCCATCTTGACATTTTTGACCCCTGTCCCCACAGATGCCCCTGGAGAGGAGACCATGAGCTACTTCTTACCCACAAATTTAAAACAAAACTCCACTTTTGTTGCAAAAGAATAAAGAAAAAGAGACATTCAGATGCAGGGGCAGGGAAACAGCTAGCTCTGAGCCATCTCTGGGCTGCTGTTCTGGGGTATAATATGAAGGCCATGGAGATTTCTGGAATTTCCAGAAGCCATCTACTTCTAGAAATGCTCGGCCATTTGCTTCTGTCTGTGGTGAACTTTTGTAGCTGCAATAATGTTTTGGTATGTAAACATCTCAAGTCTCCAGTAATCTCTCTTCCGGATGAAAGCAAACATAGGTAAGATGTGCCTCGGCAGTTCTTATATCCTACTGCAATATCCCGTCTCAGTAAAACGACAACAACCCCACATTATAGCAGTATATATTTTCAACAACAACAACAACAAAAGTAAATGGCTAAACTAGTTCATTAGCTGTTGCACATCTGATACTCTCCAACTTTGTGGTTATAACTCCCACTAGTCCCTGTAAGCATGGCCATAAGGACAGGGGACGCTTTAGTGCAGTGTGTCTAGAAAGCTCCAGATTGAGGAAATTAAAGTGGAAAGTTAGGCCAAACTTGCTGTGTGTATTTTTTAAACAGTACTTGGATAATTAAAGGTTGTACATGTGAATTATTGTGGAATGTTTGGATATTCCCATCTTGCCTAGATAACATGCAGGACCCCATTTCCCAGAATTGCTCTTTGTTCCAGTGGATAATGGTGATATAGCCCTCTGAGATGCTATCAAGCCAACCACATTTTAGCCTAATTGGTTGAACAAACATAGTATATTTAGTTAGTTTATGTTTCAGTGTGTTGCACGGGCCCAGAAAATTGAATTAACTGTGTGAATTATGGTTCAAGTCAACCATAGCAGAATGTATCCTATGAACACAACCTGTTTATTTATCCAGAATATGTGTTTATCTCTTGTTTTGTGCCAGTTATTCAGAACAATTATGACATGTGAGGTTATGATGCACATAAAAAAAGCCAGAGTCTCACAATGTATGTACTTAGCTCACACAGTTGTAATAATCTTCTCTATCCCGCTTGGTCACCCTGAGTATTCTGAAACCTGGAGTTTCTGCTACCGTCTACCCAGGTTGAAATGACAGTTTACCTCCCCTTCTATATCATTCAGCCATAGTGACAACAGCTCTGTCAATTGACGTGTCTAACTGGGTGAGACTAAGAAACTTCTCTCTTCTTTCTTCTGAAGGTGCTGAAGGGAAATATGTTGTGTTTTCTTCACCCACATCCTGTTATTGGGTTTGGGGTTTGGTTATTTTTATTTTTGGTTTTTTTCTGTATTTTCATTTTGTTTCATTTTTAAACCACCAAGAGTCTTGTTGGAACTAAGAAACATATACATTGCAGACATAGACAAACCGACTTTCTTCAGATGAGGGGTTTCACTTCTTTGAAGGCACAGCAAAGAGGTCAGGTCACTTCAGTCATCCTGCAGTCATTACAATCATAAAAATGATGACTTCTGTATCTCTGTTTAACAGGCACATGTCTCGAAAGGTCCTGTGAACATCAATACTTACAGAGGTTCTGCTAGTTATCCAGTTTCTGGATTTCAAGGTGTGCTTTTTGTCTTTATAATATTTTATGGTTTGGATGTAGACTTTCTGGGGAAAACACATTCCTACATGTACTCCGTTAGTGACAAACGTCTGCTGTGGGATGAGAGAGAATGAATGTCCTGAAGTCACCCAATGTGTTCCTATAGCCAAGAGTGGCCTTGAAACTGAATCTCCACGGTTCTGCTTTAACTTTTTAACCCACATCACCACACTGCTGTTTGCATATTTTATTCTTGTTGCTAAACAAGTTTGCATTTTTGGCTTCTGTGGTATATATGTTTGAACTTAGTTTTGATTTCTTGGATTTTTATAAAGTCAAAATATATGTTTAATTTCAGTGCCTCTTTAAAGTGCTACTAGACTATTATTTAGTAAACCTTTTAGTAAAACAAAATAAATGCAACATATATTTCAATTGCATTATCCCTACTGAAATGTGCCTCTGATGCCTTGGAGGACTAAGCGAGCTCATTATTTTTCTAATAATAGTTGTAACATTAGAAGAACCACTTTTATGACCCAACCTTTATAACTTATGACAGAACAACAAACAATAGTAATGGTCAAGCTGTGGAAATTTTGCACCTTTCCTGTGTGGAGAGTCCTTCCCAAACTGTTGGTGCCACTGAAGTGATAGTTGAGTCGCTGCATCAGTCAGTTATTAAGATTATTTTCTGGATGATAGCTCCCCTGGAAATCATAACTCTTTGAGTCAGGACTGCTGCAATGACTCTCTAACGATTGATTGCTGCAGTTGTCATGAAGCTGAGAACAGCCATGTTATCAGATAAAAGATATTCAAGTGGAGTTCTGTTTTATATTTGTGGATCTAATTTGAGACTGAAGTCACCTCTAGTGTCTCTGGATCTTCAAAAATAGCAAGGTCCTGGTATAGAGAGTAAGGAAGATGATCTTGAGGGAGATATGCACGCTCTGTTACCAAAGCAACAAGGGGTGAAATATGTCTTAAGTCTAAAACAGATAGTTAATATTCAAAAGATGCTTAGACAGAAACCTCCCTAATTAACAGGAGTATAAAAATGGGGAGGAAGTAGAGCACAATTAGACTTGCAAGGTTTTGTTATTATAGCCAATCTCAGTAAAATTAGTTTAGCCTTCCTGTGGAGTTGATTTCCTGGATTGGTCTATCTGATGGGGCTGACAGGTGGAGCTATAGGAAACCTGCTTTATGAGACACAGATGCTGGGTTCATATTGGTCATACCTATAAATCATGTCCCACAAACAAGGGTGTGTAAGTCCTCACAGTGGTGTAAAAACTGAAACCAAGTTATATAAAGATGTTTGTGAATTCAACCAGATAAGGAATGCAAAGAGAGGTTAATGGTGTCTGATGACAACTGAGGAATAACTTGAGATTCAGTAGGGATCAGGGAGAGAAGCTTTACAGCATTTTCAGAAGAAAGAGGAGAAACAGAGTCAATCTATTTACCTGCTTCAGAAAAAGAAAAGTAGAGGATATAGCTACTTGGACACCCCCAGGAGAAACCAAAAGCTCCTTTGATTTCTCTTTGCCTCAAAAAACACAGTGTCAGCCTTTGATCTGAATGAGATAATTGCCTAGGATCACAGCATATAATTTTCAATCTCGAGGCTCATTGAGGTGATAATGGGGAAATGATGGGAGGCTATGCATTTTTTAGGAAGCCCTGAGCCCAGCCCAGCCATACCCTCCCACCTGTCTGAATATAGGTCACATTTAGAATAGAGAGTTCTCCTGGGTCTTTGATGGCATCTGGAAGAAAATAGCAAGCCTATAAAGATGCAGGAAAATGACACAATGAAGAGCAGGGCAGAGAAGCTAACAGTATTTTGGACTGTGCCTGATATAACACCCTTGAAAATTTCAGCATATGATGCCCTATATTTCCACTTAATCCATCAGAAGGAAAACCAAAGTTGTAAAGTTTATATCCCTAGCAACTCCATTATCTCAATGGGAAATGCTTAATTGTAGATCCAAGAATGTAAGCCTCACAGCTTTATGAGTCCACATCCAGACATGATGTGGAGATCCTCTCTCCATTCTCTAATACAAGCTACCTAACTTCAATATGGATAGGCAGTTTGATATGAAAGCAGGTAGATGGTAGTCATGGTTGCTTCATGTCATTAGTCTTTTGGGCCATAAGAAGAAAGCAAAATGCTACAAGCCAGAGAAATGAGTTTGGTCTTGAAAGACAGGACAGTGGTTAGAAAAAAGGTTCACTAAGACCAGGCAGCAAGTGGATGAGCCTTGAGTGCATGATAGAATATTTATTAAATTGAGAGTTGTAATCAAGCACTGAGCAGTCATATTGTTCAGCAAAGGGACAAATGGGATAATGGCTTTGAAGGATCAACTACAAATTCATGCTTCCACAAGTTTACATAGAACAAACATAATAACCCACTGGTGGCTCCCATGAATTGAGCAGTAAGTAGAAATCAAAACTAGTAAGACAATTCTCAAGAAATGTCCCCATATTAAAAATAAAATAAATAATTGGCTATATCTACTTGTATTATTTAATTCCTGGGTGGCTTCTGACTACTAAAAATTATATTAAAACTGCATCCCCTAGATCATGAGGAATTGGAAGGACAACTTCAGTAGCAGTGTTACCTGCTGATCACTTGAGGCACAACTATTTTAGGGTTGGACCACATTACCCACTCAGACTTCAGATTAGCCAGAATTCATTCTTGCAAGTTATTTGATCAAGGCAATGAGTTGATCATGAGAAACTCACTGGCATATATCTGGAACCCTCCATTTTTTCATATTGCATAAGGCATTTTCTGTTAAACCAAAAGGTGGTTAGTTTACCATCACTTTCCTTGAAGCTGTCTTTAATCCTTTGCTCATGCAGATAATATTTAAAAAAGAACCTGAGATGTTAGCCAAAATACTAGAGTGGGGCTTACACAAAGACCAAACACAGGATATACACATTTAAGTATAGCTGACGTTCTCAATTACATCAATAAGAAGATAACGTGTTCTTACATTTTCTTGTGAATTAGTGCAAAGGCATGGTATGCTCAAAACAAATATGACAAATTTAAGTTCATTATTTGAACATGTCTAGCTACTTGTTATCAGATTGTGCTGTTTCTCCACAAATTCACCCTTATTTTCTTTCCTCTTCCTCAAATATAATAATAATAAGATTATTATTATTAATAATAATAGACTTAATTACTGATAAGAAAGACAAAAAAGTCTGGATCACTATCCAGTGATCCACATTGCAATACCTGGAGGCAGCAGAAGAGAAGAGAAAGAACTGGAGAAAAATCACAGAATATAAAGACCTGCAAATAGAAGTAGGACAACTATGGCAAGAGAAAGCAAAGATAGTACCAATAGTTATAGGCAATTCAGGTGTAATTCCAAAACATCTGAAGCACCACTTGAAGACTATCAGCATTGACAAAATCACCATCAGTCAGTTGCAAAAGGCAGCTTTACTCAGAATAGCTTACATCCTGCAACAATACCTTTGACATTATCAAACAACATCTGACTATCCCAGGTCCTTGGGAAGGACTCAATAGGTGGATAAAAATGCCAAATCCAATATAAACATCTGGCTGACTGTGTGACCAATCATCATCGTAGTAGTAGTAGTAGTAGTAATAATTATAATTATAATTATAATTATAATTATAATTATAATTATAATTATAATT